CTTACAGAGGAGGGAATTAAGGCCTAATGTTGGTAATGCACCTACTCCTCACTGAACAACATCGTTAAGTCTCGAAGTCCTAAAAGTCGTACTGTGAAAACGGATAACCATAGACATCACAAAAGGGAAGATAACCGCATCACTAAATAACTGCCAAATTACATTATTCCATAACTGCCAAATCACTGAGAATCCTGGTGCAGCTAAGTTGACACACAGCCATCACAGCAGGGTTGCTCTAGCCTTCCTCCTTGGCTGCTCATTACTGAGAGATGTACATTGTTCAATCACAACTAGCCAGATGATAGATTTCTGATGACTTCAAATGTGAAATGCTGTATAACATGATAGTTGATTAGTAGGTATAATACATATCCATTATTATTACTGGTACACATTTTCACCTTTCACACATTTCCTGTGGTAAGTATTCTCATCCCCCACCTTCATATAAAAAAATTAATGCATCAATATGAAATGATTTGCCCAAGATCACAGAGAGCCAAAATTCAAACTGTGGTCTACCTGTGCTCTTTTTATTTCCATGCTGCCTTCTAATAATCATAATGGCTCTCACCTTTTTCCTGTCTGCTACATGTGTCTTTTGCTTTTACACATTTCATATCATTTAATGTTCAGAAGGGCTCTATAAATAAGCTCTTATCCTGGAAGAGCTGAAGGACGGTCCCCAGAGTGAAATTTGGCTTCACCTCATTTGTGATGCGTTCTAGTGGAAGCCCGGGGTTATTACCAGTTCCTTGTTTCTCCTGGAAGGATCAGCAGGCAGACAGCAGGGTCTTCAGAATAGTGGGAGCCGGGAAGAATACAAATCTTCCCAATCAAAATGAATGAATCCTCATTCCGAGCTTGGTCATCTCCCCCTTGTATGCACACCTTTACTCTAGATTCCACATTCTTTTGTATTAGAGGTTTTATTTTATCTGCCACGTATGTCAGCTGGCTGTGTCTTTCCTTCAATCGTACCATAACACTGTGAGGAACACATAACTTATTATCCCTACTTTCCCTATGTGGTGAAAATAAACCTGTTCAGACTTAAACAGCCAGTAACTGGCAGAACTAACATTAGAATTTGAGTCTCCTGAGTGCAGGGTGGGACCACTGTCACCCAAATGGGTGGCTAAGTAATAATGCTGGCACAGTCTGTGACTGTTCACTTATTTCATTGTGTTCAAAGCTCCCCTGAGCTTTGTCAGGGATGACCAATAGACTAATTAGACTAATATTATTGTAGAAACTTTCAAAAGTTTGCCTAGTAACAGCTTTCAGGTATACATTTCTCTAACAAGAATCATGGGTTTGGAAAAAAAAAAAGAACAATCATGGGTTTATCATAAAATACATTTTCATAAAGCTTGAAAAACAAAGGAAAAGAATTCACCACTCTGAATAAGGTTTATAACTATGTGCTTTATGATAAATCCCACTTTGTTCCGTGACCTTTACAGGACTTTATCAATGCTCTGACCTTACTATCAGAAGGCCATGCATCAGTCAAACTAAATAACTGTGTCCCTGAACCTTGCCTTGGCCTGCCACATCACCACTTACACAGGACGTACGCTTTGCTAGAGTACCCAACGATCTTCCCCCTCTTCCTAAGAGAAATGGAACTTTCTCCATTAATCTCCCTATTTCACTACCCAGAACAATACACACTATTGGTCTTCCCTCGTATTTTTCCCTTCTCATATGTCATTAATCATGCTGCCCCTGTATTAAAGTCTAAATATTTGAACTGCTCATTTTTCAACTATTAGACTGAATTTTAAAAGGTATGCAACCATTTAAGCAGAGCAAACAAACACCAACAAAAAACAAGCAAACAAAAAGCAATAAAACTTCTTGGAACATAAATCTATGGAAATGAAGATGCACAACCCTTTATCTGTAATTCTGAAAACCAATAGCATGAAATAATTTTTAAAATCATTTGCATAAACTTCTAGCAAACTCTTTAGGGGACAAATCTTGACCAGAACTGCTAAGAGTTATTTAGAAGTTTGATGTAGCACACTATAAACAGTACTATATTAGGGTACAGAAATACGAATGTGTTTGACTATGAAGGGTTGATACCAGCCTCCTCTAGGAATGTTATTTTCTAAAATCTGAAAAAATTACAAATCCCAAAAGATGTCAGGCATGCAGGGACTGAGGTATGGAAGTGGGATCAGGAAACCATTCTGTTTCCAAACTCTATTCGGTTGGGCACCCGCGATGCATCAGCAAGTATGCCTGGTTCTAGAAACACACACTGCAGAAAAACCCAGTCTTGCTTAGGAAGGACCCCACACAGCAGCAGAAGCTGCATCTCTGTTAAGATGCTGACATGTAAACAGTGTATCAAAATGCACCAGTACCTGGTTTACAGTGAACCCGTGGATTTTTTCTCCTACTTTATATTGTAGAGCTCTCTCACAAGCTTTACTGCTTGTCCACCTCCATGTTTCCCGGTTGGTACAACTGTATTTAAGAAAGGTAAAAAAAAACTTCTGGGTGACATAACTAGGCAGCATAATAAAAGCTATTCATGGATAGAGATAACTAATTCAAAGAACAATTGAATCATGTAACTTCCAGACACATGCCAGCAAATTCATTTCCCATAAAGTTCTTTCATTTTTAACCTTTTACCTCAATCCAGCTAAACTTTCTTATTATTAGCATGTTGTTGGTACTGAAAACCTATTACTTGTACAAACAAGTTCACCATGTGCAAATGATGATCCAGGGCTACCAATTTTCAAATTAGATATATTCTCAATTATATAAAAATAAATTTCCTCTAAGAATAGCTTTTTCGGCCAAGGCCAAAGATTTTACCACCCAGCTGAGCTAGGGTTTTGTACATAACAAATAAAACTAGTCCTTCAAAAAAAAAAGAGAATAGCTTTTTCCATCATACGAAAAAGAACATCACAGTAAAACAATACATTCAAACTAGAGTAAAATACCAGTACACAGTGAACACATTGATGACAAGGCTCCCTGCCCATCGTTATCTCTGTGACATCTAAGCAGGGGTTACTTGTAGGAGGGAGAAAGGGTATCAGGAAGCAGCAATTTCAAGCTGAGTAATGGTGACACAACTTTCTAAAATAATTACCCTTGGGGGACGGGGAAGAAAAATCATTACTCTTTGCACTGTAATATGTTTTATATGAGATTTCTAGACTAACATTCTATCTCATGAAAATATACTTTTTAAAAAGAAGATATGCACAAAAAGCAAATTTTAAAAAAATAATGGGCTAGTCATTGGCAATATTATAGCGAGATCATCAACTTAACAAATTCTAGAATCAGAGCATTTTAAGAAGTTACTTATCATCAAGAACACAATCACACAAAAAAAGAATATGCCACATTAAATGCATATAAACCTAAAGATGCAATACTTGGGTTCCCCCTTCCCACGACTGGAAAAAAAAACGCCAGCTAATCATTCCAACTCCTGAGACCCCCAAGTGTTTCCAACAGGGCGCCTTTGGGGCTTAATAGGGTTTTCACGTTTCACTGGCAGCGCATCATTGAGTCTTTCTTCCAGGTAGGTTTGAACCATCAGCATATTAGTGAGTAGATGGCAAACACACACACACACACACACACACTCACACACTTTTTTGTAGTTTATAACATATGAGGAAGCTTCAAAAAGTTCACAGGAAAATAGAATTAAAAGATAATTGAACTGTTCCACAAACTTTTTGAAGTTCCCTCCTATGAATAATACTGCTTCTGACAAACAAACCCACTCTCAAAACTGACATTCCAAAGCTCCCCACCTGGGCTGTAACAGTAAGTGCACAGGGTGAGCAGGGTTTTGAGGTGTAGCGAGGCAATTATTTGTCATCTATTTTCTAAACAAAAATGTTCCCCGCATTTATAAACATGTAAGATCTGACATTCATTCACGGTTAGAAACTAAATGCATTTTCTCATATAATCTTTTTTTTTTTTTAATGTTCGATTCGGGTGGCTGCGATCTTACTAAGAGTTAACAGTTTAGGGAAAGTAGAGCTGGAGAAAGGCCTCCTAAGGATTCTCTGCTCCGTAAGAGAAATGAAATGGGAGCAAACATAGACATGAACATTATAACCTGTTAGTTACTTTTATTACACATATGAAAACCCACATTAATGATAACCTTCACTTCAAAGGGGCCAGACAACCTCCACACTGGGCAGGCCACCCACCCTGGGGATCACGTGAGGTCCACGCGGGGGAAAGAGGGTCAGGGAAGCTCCTTGGGGCCCCGGAAAGCCGCACCGACTTTCCCAGCTAAATCCCACCAGCAGCCCAGGCCGGAAGTCCCTTCCCTTCGCCGCAGGCCCGGAGAACCCTCGGGCAGGGAGGCCAGGGATTTGGGTGCTCATCCTCCTTTCTAGGAGGAAGGGGTTACACGCGTTCCCTGCCCCGGGCCACGGAGGAGGACCTCGGGCTGAGGCCTGGGGGGTGGGACCTGAGGAGGACAGCGGGTTCAAGACCCCGGACCAGAGGGGAGGTCAGGCAGAACAACCCCTGGGCCAGTTTGCCTCCCCACACCGTCTCCTTGACCCCTTCCCCACCCCACTCCGTGCCTGCGCACTGGCCAGCGTGGGCAGGGCCCGCCCCC